GATGCTCCCAGGGTATCCCTCAGGGATGCTCCTGGCCCCAGCATGGCCCAGTCTGCTCTGGGAGTGGTGTCATGGCATGGACCTCACACACCTGGCAGGTCTCTGAGCTGCAGCTCTGACCCCAGGAGGAGCCAGGTGTCTGTCTGTCCCTGTCCCTGTCTCATCCCATGTGAGGGTGGGAAGGGGTTAACAGTGCCCGGCTTTGCCCCACTGCCCTCCCAAGGCCCGTTCTGGTCCGAGCCCGCCCTGGACGCACCTGCCAAGGGTTAACCCGGCCCGGGCTGTTCAAACACCTCGGCTGAGGTAAGCGCTGCTTGTTTGTTCAGGTAAATAAGGAAGGAATCGGATATAATGGGCAAAGGAGGCTCTGCCTGAGCCCTGACGCTCGCTGCCGCCGCTGGCTCCGTCCCTGAGCTGCCCGCGGGGTGCCCGGTTCTGCTCGCTGTCCCGGTGCCACCGGGGCCGATGCGGCTCAGCTGAGCGGGGCTCGGTGCTGCCGGCCGGGGCTGGGACCCTCACCGGGGCTGGGACCCTCACCGGGGCCATGTCCCCCGCACACACCGTGCCCGGTGCCGCAGGGACGGCCGTGCCCAGCCTGCGCTGGCACCCATGAGGATTCTGAGCTCGCACACCCTCCAGGTAAGGCGCCCGCGCTGCCGCGACCCCCGGCTCCCCCAGCGCCCACCCAGCCCAGGGTCCTGCTCCTGGCACCAGTCTGGGGTGGGCACGGGGCTGTGCCATGTCACAGTCCCACCCCACAGCTCCTCCAGGTGCTGTTAGGGCTGAGCAGGGACAGGTTGTCCCTCGGTGTGAGGTTCTTGGCATTTCTTTGCACGGTGTCACCCAAAATGAAACGGGATTTGCCAATTTTGTGTCTTTGCAGCCTCCTCCTGCTCAAGCAGGGAGGGTGGGATGGAGCCAGCACTCCTGGGGCCGGCTGCTCCTGAGCCCACCTGGTGCCAGCTGGGACACCCAGGGTGCCACCAGCCCCTGTGCCAGGCAGGGGACAGTGAGCTTTGGGGCACCGTGGGACAAACCAGCAGCTGGGACCCTTTATGGAGCATCCTGGGGGGCTGTTGAGGAGCTGCCAGCTCCGGGGTGTCTCTGTGAAGCTGAGCCCCTTGTCCCAGCTGCTTTCCTGCTGGGGTGGCTTTTGTGTCAGCCCTGAAGTCACTTTGGCAGCGGGTTTGGTTTTCGTGGTTCTGCTCGGTTAGTGAAACACAAACACCGTGAGGGTGCCAAATCCCCACAATACCGGAGCTCTCTGGGGCTGGGAGCACAGCGGGGAAGGTGCTGCTATAAATAGGGGCTCCCTGGCCCCAAATGGGGAACACCAAGCTCTGCTGCTCACCGGGGGCACAGCGAGCACCAGGCTTTGCCCGGGTCACTGGCGGGTGCTGCCTGTCCCTGTCACTGCTGTTTGCCTCCCGCGCTGATGGAGAGGGCAGCCTGACCCAGGGCGTGGGGACCTCTGGGGACACCTGGTCCCCGTGCCAGCAGCCATGCAGGTAATGGCAGAAGGAGCCAGGACACCTCGGTGGTGTCGGAGCCGAGAGTCCAGGCCTCCCGGGATGGGCTGCATCCCCCCAGGGGTACATCAGAGTGAGCCTGGGGCTTGTCCTGGCCCCAGCCCTGTCACCACACAGCCCCAGCCCTGTCACCTCCCCAGCCCCTGCTCTGTCGCCTCCCCAGCCCCCCAGGGCTGTCCCCAGTCCCTGCCCTGGCTGTGGGGAGGTTCTGGCCAATCCTCCTTCCTCCACCCAGAGATAAGGAGGGTGCGTGGCACAGGGTTTGGCAGCAGGACGTGGCACAGCTGTCACTCTGGGGCTTGCATGGGACATGCTGGCAGGATCTCAAGTCGGCAGCAGCCTCCGAGCGCCCACCTGGGCGCCTGCTGCAGCCCTGGCTTTGCTCTTTTCCTGCTTCATCCAGGCTGCTCTGGGACAGCTCAGGGTCCCGCACATCCCCAGCTCCTCCTGGGACAGCACAGCCCATCCCTGTCCCCACCTGGGGCTGGCGGTGACCCCGGAGCTGGCCCTGCTCCCTCTCCCCCTGCCTGGGAAAGGCTTTCGGAAGTGCCCGGGGGTTTGGGATCCATCCCGGGCTCTGCGGGCAGCGCCCCTCCCGCGGCGGGGCCACCCTGCCGGTCCCACAGCGCTCCGGCACAACCTGTTCCACCGCTGATTGGATTTTAATTAACGGACCCATTGTTCCAGGGTGGGGGGTGGGTGAATTTATTTTTTGGGTTTTTTTTTTTTCCTCTCGCTCTCAAGGGCCCATCCCAGCCTTCCACCCTGAGCCACGGTGGGCTGCACTTGCCAGGAGAGCTGGGGGTGGCACGGGGGTCCTTGTCCCCATCGTGTCCCCCTGGGCTGTGGGGTCTGTGTGGGGCTGAGCTGTGAGCCAGCAGCACCCACAGCCCCGGGCTCGGGCTGGCTCCGTGCCCTGGGAGTGCAGGAGCCCCATCCCAGCCCCAGCTCCCCATCCCAGCCCCAGCTCCCCATCCCAGTCCCTATCACCCCATCCCAGCCCCATCCCAGCCCCAGCTCCCCATCCCAGTCCCTATCACCCCATCCCAGCCCCATCCCAGCCCCAGCTCCCCATCCCAGCCCCAGCACCCTATCCCAGCCCCAGCCCCAGCCCCTATCACCCCATTCCAGTCCCAGCTCCCCATCCCAGCCCCAGCCCCAGCCCCAGCTCCCCATCCCAGCTCCAGCCCCAGCCCCAGTTCCCCATCCCAGCCCCTATCACCCCATCCCAGTCCCAGCTCCCCATCCCAGCCCCAGCTCCCCATCCCAGGCAGAATTCCCCGGAGCAGCAGCCAGGGAGCTGCCAAGGCTGATGCAATGACCGGCTCAGCCTGGCTCAGCTTGGGCAGGGTTTTGGTGCCATGTGTGCCCGTGCACCTGGGGCTGCCCCTCCAGCTCTCCTTTTCCAGGGAAATGCACAAAGGGGAAGGGGCAGAGGGGGGAAAAGGGCACCCGAAGTGGCTTCTCAGTGCAAACAGGTCCCACCCAGCCCGGCCGCCCGCGTGCCACAGCGGGAGAAAGTCAAACAGCGGCCCCCGCCCAGGGAGGACAGCGCCCTTGGTGGGGCACAGCTCAGCCTTTTGGGGACACTTCCCCAGGAATTGGGTCCCTCTGGGAGGGGGAGAACAGGATGAGGGTGAAGGTGGGGCTGGGGTTGTCCGGGTTGTCCATCCTGTGGCGTTCCTGAGGATGGTTCCACAGCCCTGCTCCCCCATGGGTGAGGATGAACCGTGACCTCAGAACATCCCAGAGGCTTTGGGAATGAGGCACCTGTGCCCTCCCAGACACCCCCACGGCCAGCAGTGAGCAGCAGCAGGAGCTGCACAAGCTGTTACCAGTTCCCTTTTGTGCTGGGAGCAGCGTGAGGCTGGATTTAGGGCTGATCTCCTAAAGCTCTTCTTTTAATCCCGAGCAAATCAAGGAGAGGTTTGGAAGCAGGCACCATCTCTCAGGGAAACTGTTTGGGGACGATGGGGGCAGCCCCAGACCAGAAGAGAGTTTGGGTTCCCTCTTCTCCCTCCTCCTCCATGATGCAGTGCCACCAAAACCACTCAGGGCTGTGGGCTCCAGCTCCTAAACCCACAATGCCTCTCAGGTCCCCATGGGCTGAGGCTGTTTAGGTGTCCCTGGCTCTTCTACGGGTTTTTCTGAGCTCTTTGGGCTATTCCAAGGAAGAAGTGATGAGCTTGCCCCAAGTGCAGGCAATGCAGAACTTCAAACCCATATTCCTGAATCCTCAGGAGCTGCATTATCTCCCCCCCGAGCATGGGACACAGGACTGGGTCCCCATTGTCCCTCCTCCACTGACCACCCTGTGCTTGCTGGAGGAACCCTGTGGGATCTTTTCCTCTCATTTCTTTTAAACCTTTTCACCCCCAGCTGAGGTTTAGAGCAACAGTGCATCCCCTTTCCCTGGCCACTGCCCCCCACTCCCCTTCAGGGCTGCCTGGTGTCCTGAGGGGTTTCAAACTTTTCATGCTCCTTTCCCAGTGCCAGCTCCATTGCTAAAGCTCCTTTTTCTGCTTTTAAACCACCAGTTTGGGATGGTTCTTCTTCTTCTCCTTGTAAAATGCGGTGCTGAAGGTGGAGGAGCTGGGCAATGCCCTGGCCATGCCCATCAGCAGCTTCTCCCTGGCAGGGGCCTCCCCTTCCCAAAGTCTCAGGATGGTTTTTGGGGAGGTTTCTCCATGGATGGAGCCATTCCTTGGTGTTGCCATGGAAATTCAGCAGGTTCATCCTCTCCTCCATGGCCTCCAGGACTCCCAGGCTGATTTGGGGTAGTTTTTCTTGCTAGAGAGTGAAGGTAATTGCAATTGTCCTGTCTTACAAGGAAATTTCTCATCTGGGGGTTGATAACAGCAACCAAGGGCTGGGAGCTGGGCTGGGTCCCTCCCAGGGATCTGGGTCTGGGGGCTGCTGTGCCTCAGGTGGAAGCAGCAGAAGATGATTTCCACACTCAGAAACCTCTCCCTGCAACTCAAGCATCCATTGTCACCCCAGGGCTGTCCTGGGGCAGTCCCCCCAGTGTCCCACAGTGCCTTCCACCCCTCGGCTCCACCTGGCACTGAGCTGCTGCCAGCCTGGGGTGCAGCCCTGGGGGGACCCTAAACACCGAGACCCTAAACACCCAAACCCTACACACCCAGACCCTAAACACCCAGACCCCAAATACCCAGACCCTAAACACCCAGACCCAAAGCAGGGGTCAGATCCTGCTCATCTCCTGAGCTCCTTCTCCCTGCTGCCTGCTGCTGCTGTCCCAACCGGGGCCAGCCCCCCCAGCCATGCTGACCCCGCATTCCCCGCAGGCTGCCGGGCACAGTGGGGCGCTTTGCCGGGTTTTTCCCCTCTAACAGGCTTAGTCCGTCCCTTTGTGCCTGGCTGCGGGGCGGGAAGGCAGCAGCGGTGCCGGGCTCAGCTCTGCCCCTCTCTCATCCCCGGGCAGGTTCGGAGCCGGCGCTGAGCAGAGGGATGGGCAGTGCCAGCCCCGGGCTGCCCGCTCTGCCCCCCGCCCGCCTCTCCTGGCCGGACCCCGCGCTGCTGCCGCCCCCCCGGGACCCCGACCCCCGGCGCTGGGGCTGCCCCGAGAGCCCCAGCCCCCCCGGGACCCCCGAGCAGCCCCTGCCAGCCTTCTGCCTGCACTACTTCGACATGCTCTACCCGGAGGACGCGGCCTGGGCCGCCAAGGGCAGCGGGGAGCCGGCCCCGAGCGGCGGGCAGGGCGGGCGGGACGAGGCCAGGAAGGAGCCGGAGCAATGTCCCATCATCGACAGCCAGGGGCTGGGGCTGGGCACCGAGGGGGACCTGCAGGACAGCCTGCACCTGGAGGAGCACTCGCTGGAGCAGGTGCAGAGCATGGTGGTGGGCGAGGTGCTCAAGGACATCGAGACGGCCTGCAAGCTGCTCAACATCGCCGCAGGTGCGCGTCCCCGGGGCAGGGATGGGTGTGCGGGGTGGGAGCCAAAGCCTCGCTGAGTCTGGGGGGCTGCAGCTGCTTGTGGGGGTCTGGGGGAGTGTGGCTGTCCCACAGGGGAGGAGAGGATGGAGGGGATGGAGAGGATGGTTCCTGGGGGGCTGCAGCCTCTTGTGGGGATCTGGGGAAGTGTGGCTGCTCCATACAGAAGGAGGAGATGGTTCCTGGGGGGCTGCAGCTGCCTGTGGGGGTCTGGAGGAGAGCAGCTGCTCCACACGGGACAAGGAGATGGTTCCTGGGGGTCTGCAGCCGTCTGTAAGAGTCTAGAGGAGTGTGGCCGCCCCACACAGGAGGAGGGGATGGTTTCTGGGGGTCTGCAGCCGTGCGTGAGGCTCTGGGGAAGTGTGGCTGCCCCACACAGGAGGTGAGGATAGAGAGAATGGTTCCTGAGGGGCTGCAGCCATGAGTGGGGGTCTGGGGGAGTGTGGCTGCCCCACAGGGGAGGAGGGGATGGTTTCTGGGGGGCTGCAGCTGCCTGTGGGGGTCTAGGGGAGTGTGGCTGCCCCACATGGGAGGAGGGCTCGGCTCCCTGGCCACACTCACCCCCCTCGGCCCCCAGACCCCATGGACTGGAGCCCCGGCAATGTGCAGAAGTGGATCCTGTGGACGGAGCACCAGTACCGGCTGCCGCAGATCGGGAAGTCCTTCCAGGAGCTGTCGGGAAAGGACCTGTGTGCCATGTCCGAGGAGCAGTTCTGCCAGCGCTCCCCCGCCTGCGGTGACATCCTGCACGCCCACCTCGACATCTGGAAGTCCGGTGGGTGCCGGGAGGGAGCCGGGGAGGGTGGGCGAGGCTGTGCCGCGGGAGGTGCCCCCCTGATGCCCCGCTCCTGCCTTGCAGCCGCCTGGATGAAGGAGAAGGCTGCCCCGGGAGATGTCAGATACTGCGGTGAGTTCTGCTTTGGGCAGGTCCGGGGTGCCTGGGGGTCCCTCCCTGTTTAATTGCAATTACCCGGAGCTCTGGGATCTGGGCGGTTCATTCCCTCTGCCCCAGAGCAGCCCCAGGGCTCTCTGCAAAACCCAGCGAAGGGGAAATGGCTCCATCCCCTCCCTGGCCCTGTCCCACACCCCTGCACCCCTGCGGGCTGCACAGGGGCAGCACTGAGCTGCTCTCCCTGCTCCAAGATGGGGAGAGGAAAGCAAATCTTCCATACCCAGCGCCGGGCTGAGTCTGGCTGGGAGCGGGGCTCCCTGTTGAGGACTCGAGCAGCTCCCTGGGGTGGGAGCTCTGTCCCTTCCCTCCTCTCACCCGTCCCTTCCCGTGGCAGGAGGTGACACCGGCTGGGCCGACAGCGAGGTGGACTCGTCCTGTGCCGGCCAACCCATCCACCTGTGGCAGTTCCTCAAGGAGCTGCTGCTGAAGCCGCACAACTACGGCCGCTTCATCCGCTGGCTCAACAAGGACAAAGGTGGGCGATGCGCTCCAGAGGCCCCGGGGAGGGCGCTGGGGGGCTGAGACGGAGCAGGAGACGCTGTAACCCCCCGTGCCCCCCTCCCCTGCCAGGCATCTTCAAGATCGAGGACTCGGCGCAGGTGGCGCGGCTGTGGGGCATCCGCAAGAACCGCCCGGCCATGAACTACGACAAGCTGAGCCGCTCCATCCGGCAGTACTACAAGAAAGGGATCATCCGCAAGCCCGACATCTCCCAGCGCCTCGTCTACCAGTTCGTGCACCCGGTGTGAGCGGCTGCAGGGACCGGGGAACCTTGGCTGCTCCCTCTGCCCCGAACACGGAGAGCAGCAGGACCGTGCGAGGCTTCCCCTGCCAGGACCTGCTGGCACCGGACACAGGGACCCCCCCACCTCCAGCAGGCCCTGGTGCGGGGCAAGGACTGTGCAGGGAGCCCTTGTCCCCCACGGGAAGGGTGGGCACCGTGCCTGGGCTTGTCCCCTCTCCTCCCTCCCCAGTTCTGGCTGTAGGTGGCTTCACCCAGCCATTGTTCAGGGAGGAAAAAGCCTGGGGCATGAGCTGGGACAATGGCACCCACGGGGACAGGGACACCCACAGGGACACCCACAGGGACAGGGACATCCACTGCTGCTCATGGTGGGCTCCTGTCCCAATCCCCGTGGGAGCAGCCTGGCACCTGCCAAGGGTGCTGCCTGCCATGGAGCTGTGCCATTGGAACTGTGGGCACCCCTTGGGACAGGTGCATCCCCCCTTTGCTGTTCACTCCAGGACATGCTCGGCTGCTCCCCTTCACAGGAACTTGGGGCTGCACATGGGAGTTCTGTATCCATGGCCCCATCCTCGTGCACGGGGCCACCAGAGTCCTCCCAAGCCCCCAGGTTCTGTGCCCTGGCTCAAAGCTCTTCCTTTGATTTGGGTTTTACTTGGACTGCCTGATTCTGGAGTTTGGGGAAATGGAGATGGCAGCTTTGCCGTTTCCCTCTGGACAATAAATCCAGAGTGTGATCCGTCCAGGCTGGACTGGGGCAGAGCTGGGAATTGCTTCACCTGCTCATTGCACCAGAGTCAGAGTTACCTGGCAATGTTGATCTTTTATATTATAGGCTTTTTTTTTAAATTTGGTTATTTGCTTTTCTGTTTTGGCTGGTGATGAGTTGTGGTTTAGGTTCAAATGCCGAGGGTGGCCTGGGCTTCCAGGGATGTTCTGTGGGAGCTTAAAAGGAAAAAAACACCTGATTCTTGGTCTCTTGATTTTTTCCTTAAAAATCCGTCGGTGCCAGCTACTGCCTTTCCTTTCTGTTGTTGCTCCATGCTGCTCCCATCCTGGCAGGAGGGATGGAGGGCAGTGAGGAGCAGGGGAGGGACGAAAACTGCCTTTGGAAAAGGGAGTGGAAAAACAAAAAAGTGGGAGGGGAAAAAAAGCGCAAAGTGTGTCTTGTGATTTGATGTGGGCACCTGACGGCAGCCGGTGCGGGGGCACTGTGAGGACGGGCTGGGGGTGCCAGTGGTGCCCCAAATCCTGCGTCCCCCCACCCTGGCAGGGTGAGGGAGGGCAGCAGGTGACATCACCCTGCTGTCACAGGCTCAGGAGAGCGCTGGGTCAGGTCTGGGGCTTGGAACAGCCCCAAATCCGCATTCCCTTGAGCCCCGCCGTGGGTGTCCCAAGGCTCTGTCCTGCAGTGGCACAGGGGTCCCCAAAGGCAGTGGCTGCTCCCCTTGTCCCCCCAGCAATGCATCCCCATCCTGCTGCACCCCGAAACCTTGGGGAGGGGGTGTCACTACCTGGGGGTCCACAACCACCTCAGCAACCCCCCAGGGGTGGGACAGACGCACAGCAAAGGAGACCCCAGAGCCAAGGACGCTGACAGAGCTCGGTTATTTTCTCTTGCTGCTTTTTGTTGTTGTATCCACGGAAATACAATCACGAGAGATATATATATTATATATATACTTCTTAAATTACACAATCAATGTACAAAAACCGGGGTGCATTGCTGAGACAGGTGGTTGGTTGGGTCTTTTCTGACTTTGTGGGTTTTTTTTCCTGTACCTGGCAGGGGCTGGATGGCTCCCGCCCACCGTGCCCAGCACACGGTGCTTCCCCTGCATCCACGAGAACACGGGATCCCTGGGGCCAAAAAATTCACGAACCAACGGAGGGGGCAGGAAAGGAGCAGGAGGAGCGTGCGGGAAGCCCATGGCATTGATGCTGCTAAGGGTGATGGTATGGAAAGAAATGAGAGATGATCTGTAGGGAAGAGCTGGGGATGGCAAACGCGCCCGAGACAGGGGGTGGGGTGGCGGCAGCAGCCGTGAGAGCTGCGGGGTTGGGGACAGAGCCCAGGGGAGGAGGGGTAGAGCTCGGTGGGGACAAGCAAAGGGCAGAGCCTGCGGCCATTCCCCTGCCTTGGCGTGCCTTGATTTCAGCCGTCTTTGCCGGGCAGCTGCTCTGCCTGGGCTGTATCCTGAGCCCTCCTCCTGGGCTGCAGCTCCTGCAAGGCCGGACGATGCTCATCCCCCGTCCCTGCTCTGCTCCTGCCTCGCTTCAGGAAGGGGAGGATGGGGACCGTCCCCAGCAGTGCCCAAGGCAGTCCTCGCTATCCCAGGCTGGGCATGAAGCTGCTCCCAGCAGCACCTGGCGGGTCCTTCTCCGCACAGCGCTGGATTTTAGGGCCATCTCACCTGGATCTGGTGTGCGTTGGATTCCTGCCCACCCGAAGGGCGGTGCTGCTCCCTGCAGGCGGCACAGACCGGGCATCGGCTCGGGAGCCTCCGCCCGCTCCGGTGTGCTGACAGCCCAGCCGGGAGGAGGAGGAGGAAGCTGAGGAGATGCCAGCAAGCTCCATGGCGGGGCTGGTCCCACCTCACCTGGGCATCTCAAGGATGGCCACGGGGCTGAAGGGGACATTCACCCCCTTCCTCGGGGCGGGAGGATGAACTGGGGAGAACATGGAAACACCAAAAAAAACCAAAAACCACGGAGTCAGACTCCAATCCCTCTTGGTTTTCTGGGATGAATTTGGTTGGTCCCAGGAGCTTCGGCGCCGTGCGTTTCAGAACAGTTCCAGCCAATCAGAAGGCGGCTCATGATTTCAGTATCTTTAAAAACCAACCAGTCAGGAGCTCTCACTGGTTGGGCTTTAAGATCTTGAGGTATCGGCTTTTCGCTCAGAAAAAAAAAATAATAATTCAACTAACGTAGACGAACGGACAACGTCATCTTTCGCTTCACGTTATCTTAGAAGAAAGCGACTATGCAAAATACTCTTCGGAGACAACTCTTAAAAAAATAAAAGCTTGGTCGGAAAATATGTCTGAATCTCTAAGGGTGAGGAGTGAAGGACCAGACGGCAGAATGGCTGGTTGGCTGGTGGAGAGATGGAGACAACGGAGGGTGGATTTATCTGCTGACGGTGACGAGGAGCACACCACAAGACTTAAATTGCCTCCACATAGTTGGCGGGGTACAGCCCCAGCTGCCCGTTGTCCAAGCGCCCTTTGCACCACCCCTGCTCGTCTTCCTCACCGAGTTTGGTTAGTTCATCACCTGGAGAGGAAGGTGGAAGGGAAGAGCTCATTGCAGGTGCTGGAAATTCTCCCACCTCCTTTTTCTCCCTGGGATGGAGCTGCTGGGGGTTTGCAGGACTCATCCTCGGCACACCAGTTTGTAGGATAGAAAGGCAAGGGGTGACTCATGAGCCCTCGCGTGCCCCGTCCCCTCCCATTGCTCCTGTCCCTCCTGCCTTTGGGCTCAGCTTCTGCCTTCCCCTTTCTGACACCTCAGCTCTTTGAAGGGCTGGGCCAACCCAGAAATTATTGGAGGGATTTCACCCCCACAGCTCCAGCAGACGAGCCCCCTCCTACCTGGCACTGGCAAGGGACCATACCTGCTTTGAAGCTGAGCTCATCCTGCTCCTGCCCGTCGTAGTCGTACAGAGCCCGCACCCTCACGCCCTTCCCTGCCGACTCCTCGTCGAAGGGGTTGGCGCCGCCGTTGGCCTCGCTGGTGTTGAAGGAGTTGCTGCCCTCGTCGTCAGACCACTCGGCGCTGTAGGTCTGCCCGCGGTCATGGCTGCTCACGCTGGGAGAGAGAGGAGAGAGAGGGGTGGCTGTCACTGGGGACATCCCGCATCCCCAGTGCTTGTACAGGCACAGTCTGTGCCCCTCACAGGCCGTGCCCCTCATACTCTGTGCCTCTCAGTCCGTGCCCCTCACAGTCCGTGCCCCTCACAGTCCGTGCCCCTCACAGTCTGTGCCCCTCACAGGCTGTGCCTCTCCTTTCCCCTTCACGCCGTCTCTCACCTCCCGCGCTCGCCCGCCTGAGCCCCCGTGTCGCCCGCGCCGCTGGCGTTGGTCAGGGCCACACCCTCGCCCTTCTTCTGCTTCTCCTTCCGCGTTATCGTGTGCGTCAGGTCCGGGTTCCACTCCTGCAAGTACAGAGTGACCAAGCCCTGAGTGCCCGGCTGCCCTGCAGGGCTGCCAGCACCCAGGCAGGGCGCCCAGCCTCACCTCAAACTGGGGCCAGTTCATGGGCATGCCGGGGCCGCTGGTGCTGCGGAACCACCGCAGGTCCTCCTGCGCGTCCGACATGCGGATGGTCTGCTCCAGCTCCCGGTACACGTTGGCGTAGCTGTGGGGAGAGACGTGTTTGGGGGGCTGTGGGTCAGGTGGGGCCCTGGGGACAGCGTGGGACAGGGACAGGCCCAGGCTGCGTCGCCTGGGGACAGACTGTGGGTCCTCCAAGCCACCAGGGGGTGACAGGCTCCTGCACAGCCTCCTGCCACTCTGGCACCTCTTGGTGACCAGCATGGCCAGAATCTGCTGCCCCTACCTGCTGCTCTCAGCCAGGTTCAGGTGCCTCTTGATGTCCAGCAGCATCTCCTTGAGGAAGTTGAGCCTCTTCTCCTCGAACTGCTGGCACTGCTCGAAGACCTGCTCCATGCTCTCAATGTACTGTGGGGTGCACTTGTTCAGCTCATCCAGCACCTTCTCGTACTTCTCCTGAGTCTGCAAAGACACAGGAGGGACCCCGGTAGTACCTAGAGCACCTCAGAGGCTGTTTCAGGGTGCTGAGAGGTCTGGTTTGGGGTCACCAGAGCTGGGGAGCCCAGATTGAGCCAGGAGCCTCAGTGGGTGGAATCAGCCCCCAAAAGTGGGGTAAAATCCCTGCCCAGCTCACACTCCCCTGACCACTGCCTGCAGGTCCTTATCCTCCAGGGACACAAGGATGGGAAAATGGGAACTGATGGTGGAGAAAGCGATGTGGTGGCCA